ACTCAGGGCCATTCAAACGCGGCCGCGCGCGGGGCCCGCCGGATTGCTCCCCTTGGGCGTCTCTCAGGCTCCGCCCAACGCTGGCTCCGCCCCTCTCGGGTAGCGCCGGAGGGAGGGGGAGAGGGCGTGTGGCCACAGTGCCCCCTGGTGGTCACAGGTACGCACACTAGTGTTGCTACTTCGCGGTAATACTGCGCTGGAAACTGAGGATGATAAAAGTCAAAGAATGACTCATGAACATCTAGTGGGGGGAGGGGAGGAGACTATACCCTAAGTGTTGCACCACGAGGTTCAAACCATTTGCTATAAAAATATGGTACAGGGCGAGATTTAGTCATTTCCATTTAAATGCACTCTAGGCAAAGGATTTAAATGTGTGGACTCTGGAGCTATGTGACGTTGGGTAAGTCATAAATTCCTGTGTGTTTTGGTTTCCTCATCTGCAAAATGGGGGTAATAGTAATAGCTGCCTCACTATGGTGAGGATTAAATGAGTTAATACATATAAAATGCTTAGAAGAATGTATTTGGCACATGGTAAGCACTATATAATTGTTAGCTATTATATTTTTGTTCCTAATATGTGCCAGACTCTGCGTTAGACTCATAAGAACACAAGAAATGTGTATGATGCAGACCCTGTCCCCAGGAAGTAGGCATAGTCTCTTTGGAATGGGGTACACTCAAGTATGAGGTTACATTTGGGTCTGTCCCTGACATGCTTTTAATTACTGAGGGTAATTCTCTTTATCTTAGTGGAGGCAGAGTCTACCCATCTTCAACAATAAGCCACTGATCAAGGTTATGAGTTGTTTTATTTATTTAATAGGTTAATGGGGTGGGCCACAACATTAGTAACAAAGAAACAGAATTTCCGGAGGATGAGGCCCAGAAATCAGGATTTTAAAAAGATTCCCAGGTGATTCTAATGTGCAGCCAAGGTTGAGAACCACTGCCCTAGGGTGACTTGCTTCTCTGGTTAGACAGCGGTGCTTCTTTTCAATATGGTCGAGTCCACTCTGTCCTGCTCCAGTTTGTTCCAGATGCACACTCTGCTTCACTCTGTTGTACTCCTCTCTGGCCCTGAGAATAACAATGTATTTTTCCTCCCTAGTAACAGGGCTCTTACTGTAAAAAATTAAGCAATGGTGAAATTTTCAGGCATGAATTTAGGTCCGTGGGAGAAGTATTTTTAGGATATGTTTTGCATAAGCAATGCCTTTGTGAGCTACTCTCAGATTATACCACGCACAAGCAGGAACATGCCTATGCATGGGGCCACACCTGTTAACAAATGGGACTCTTCGAGAGAGTCCGGCAGGGTGAGTGAAGAAAGCAGGAGCCCTGGGTTCTAGGTGTCTGCAACTTAGAACATTCCATTAAGTAGGTGTGCTGTTGTAAAGAAAATAAAATTCAACACACATGGGTGAATTCACTTTCTCTCAAGCTATTTCTTCATCACCATTATCATAAACAGGAATTTCTTGATGACCCACTATATAAGAGGCATTGTACTGGGCCCTCACCAGAAGGTGAAAAAGGTGTGAGACAGTACTTACCCTCAAGGGATGCTGCATGGTGTGGTAGGACAAATAACGGGGACTCGGGAAAGCTGCTGTGTTAACGTAGAAGCATCTCCACCATAGAAGACTCAGGTGGTCTGAAGGCCTGAGCAGAATCTTGATGTTCTCACTTCTGGAGCTTCGTAGGGCACAGTGTCTCAGGCAGGTGCATCTCCAGACTCAGGTTTGGAGGTTTATACCAGTGGATGAGCGGCCCTGGCCCATAGAGCTCAGGTGACTGCCAAGTGTCAGCATGATTTAAGGTGAAATTTTTAAAAATGGCTTTATATTGCTACTTTTGAAATATGTACTATTTTAATTATGAAAATGCAGGGCAATTTTCTTCATTGACACTTCTAAGTCAATAAAGTTGAAATTCTTTT